AACGGGGCTCCCGCGAGGGCCTCGGGGCGGCGTGGGAGCGCGGCCTGGGGAGGCGTGTGCGGGCAGAGGAGGCGCCGTAGGGGGGCTGGGGCCGGGTCTGGGGTCTGGACGGCCCCGGCGGGCACTTGGGGCTGAGCGTGGCTGAATCCGAGCTCCGTCTTCACACGTCTGGCTCCGAACATTTCCCAGCTCGGGCGTGGCAACACCACCCTCCCAGCCGTGCCAGCCGGAAACCTGGGCGTCATTCTCCTAAATCGCGCCGGTCCCGCATATGCACCCTACCGATTTTGCCGGTCTTAACCCAGTTCTCTCAGATCAGTGCGCCCCCAGTCCATTCTCCACGCGGCAGGTAGTGCTCTTAAAACAGATGTGATCGCGGTCTCCTGGGCATGAAACTTTGCAGTGATTTCCCATTGCCAAAGAATTTAGGCAATGTTCTTTAAGCCGGCCCTACCAGGCCGGCCCTCCCTCCGTCGCCAGTTTCATTTTACAGTGCCCCGTACTTTCTTTCTGCGCTTTGGCTCCTCTTACATCGTGCTTCCTCCAGCCCTGGTCTGTGCCTGTGCTCCCCCTTGCCCGTAAAGCCCCCCTCCCCCCGCTCCTTCCTCCCCGTGTGCAAACGACTCCTCTCCCAGATCTCAGCTCAGTATCACGTCTGAGGTCAAGCAGTGGATGATGATTCTTGGAGAGCCTGTAGTAGAATAAGGGAAAGGGGCTGAACCCTGGAGGAGGGAAAGGAGCTAGAGAAGGAAACAGTTGGACACGAGCAGCAGCAGGGGCCATGGCTGTCCACAAAACCCAGGAACATTTCCAGGTGAAGATGCTGTTCCCTGGTATGCTACAGAGAGGTTAAGGAGAGGGAAGTCTGGATTTAGGAAAGCATTTTCAGTAGAATGTTGAAGCCTGGAAGTTAGATTCCAGTGGGTTTAGGAGGAAATGAAAAATGAGAAAAGAGAGTATGGTTTGGTGTGATGGGAAGGAGAGATGAGGTGAAGACAAGATGCTCACCTGGGGATATTTTTTCCATTAAGGGGGAGAGAGAGAGAAACATCGTGAGAGAGACAGATCGATTTGTTGCCTTGTAGGAACCGTTTTTGTTTTTAAATTTTTAAAAATATATCTATTGATTTTAGGGAGAGGGAGAGAGAGATAGAAACATCAATGACGACAGAATCATTGACCGGCTGCCTTCTGCATGCTCTCTACCGGAGATAAAGCCCCCAACCCGGGCATGTGCACTGACCGGGAATCGAATCGTGATCTGGATCCTAGGTCAATCGATGCTCAACTGCCGAGCCACATCACCCAGGCTTGTAGTGACCACTTTTAATTTCACTTTGGTTTGATGTTTAGATGAGGGGAAAACGTTTTAGGTTGAGAGTTGTTTTAGGACCCTTTGGGTGCAAGTGGCAAAAACCCAACTCAGAATGGTCTAAGCAAAAAGAACATATCAGCTGACATAACTGTAAAGTCTAGAGGTAGGTCTGGCTTCAAGCGAGCCAAGTCCAGGGGCTCAGGCTTGATCCCCAGTCAGGGCACATACAAGAATCAACCAGTGAATACATAAATGAGTGGAACAACAAAATCAATGTCTCTCTCTCCCTCCCTCCCTTCCTCTTTCTCAAATCAATTAAAAAAATTCTAATTAATAATTAAAACAACAAAAAACAACTAATGCTGCAGTAATGGCAGCCAGAAGGGGTGGAAGGTTTTCCTTCAGAAGTCAGCAAGACATGGTCACTGACTCGGAACAAAGAATTGCTGAAAATCCCAAGGCCTGGAACCTAGGAAATTGGATGGGAGTGAGAAGCTGACTGAAGCATTCTAAAAGTGGTACATAAAAGGCACAAGTGGGAGGCCAAAGCTTCTATCCCCTGCAACTCCTCTCCCCTGCCCCCCCCCCCCTGTCCCTGTAGAAGCTTTGTACTACACAGATGACACAGCCATGACCAGGGCCCTGGTGCAGTCCCTGCTGTCCAAGGAGGCTTTCGACGAGGTGGACATGGCTCACAGGTGAGGGGAATGGTCCTGGCATGAGGCAACCAAGTGGGCACAGTTATTGCACCCTTGACCAGAGCAGTGATGTCGTGCATGCTGGGACCCCTACCCTCAGCAGGAAACTGTTTCTAGGGCCACTGAAGCTTCACAAGCTAGAAACTAGCACGGCTTCTACCGGCTCCCTAGGTCCTCAGGACTTCCTCATTTCCCAATCCAGCCAGATTTCTTCTCTTCCAGCCCTGACAGGCATCTTTGAAACTTTCATCCTGTCTCCCTTCCCTCCCCTAGATTTGCTCAGGAGTACAAAAAAGACCCTGACAGGGGTTATGGTGCTGGAGTAATCACTGTCTTCAAGAAGCTCCTGAGCCCCAAGTGCCGCGACGTCTATGAGCCTGCTCGGGCCCAGTTCAACGGGAAAGGCTCTTACGGCAACGGGGGTGCCATGCGGGTGGCTGGCATCTCCCTGGCCTATAACAGCATCCAGGATGTGCAGAAGGTAGCCTGGGCAGGCTGGCTTCTGGGCTGTCCCCTCCCTCCCCCTTCTTCTCTGGGTTCTGTGACAGCAGGTCTTAGCCTTCACTGCCTTTGCTCTAGTTTGCCCGGCTCTCAGCCCAGCTGACACACGCCTCCTCCCTGGGTTACAACGGTGCCATCCTGCAGGCCCTGGCTGTGTACCTGGCTTTGCAGGGAGAGTCGTCCAGTGAGCACTTCCTCGAGCAGCTCCTGGGCCACATGGAAGAGCTGGAGAGTGATTCCCAGTCCCTCTCGGATGCCAGGGAGTGAGTATGTGGGGTGGAGGCGGCTGGAGGTGAGTTTGTGGGTGTGCATGCATGTGGGGTAGGGTCCTCTGGCATTGCCACAAGCTGAGACCTTCATTCTTTAACTACAGACCCTAGGGAGGAGTGGGAGAGTACCTTTGCCTTGCCTCAGGTTCCCAGAGAACCAAAGGTGCAGCTCATGCCCAGCCCTCTCCCACTTCTTGTTAGGACACCTGGGCCTGGGTGTCACCCTGACCACATCCCACCTCGCCCTCCCACACAACCCTTCCCCTGCCTGGCTCCAGCCTCCCTGCAATCTTGCCCCCGGCCTGCAGGTTGGGCATGGAGGATCATCCATACTCGGGCCGACTGAAGAAGATTGGAGAGCTTCTAGAGCAGGATGCGGTGACCAGAGAGGAGGTGGTGTCTGAGCTAGGTGGGTTGCCCCCCCACACCTGTCATCCTTCAGGGTCAGGCTTGGGCTCGGGGGGAAGGGAGCAAGGAGTCACACTTGCCTCCACATTTTTGCCCCAGGCTGCTGTGACAGCAGAGCCAGCTCTGTGGGGTACTTTGGCAGGTTTTGAGTGAGTGTAGCGACTTCTTGCTCTGGGGCTGCAGCATCTTCAGCCTCACGGATAAATATTCCCAGAAATGGCAGCTGACCACCAGTTCTCACAGCTGCTGTTGACCACCATTGTTAATTTATGTAGCCCTTTTACTGTGTTCTGGGTGCTGTGCAGAATGCTTTATCTGTTTGGTCTCATTTCACCCTCACACGAGCCCTGTGAGAGTTCCTAACCTGATTCACTGTGCATGAGGAGTCAAACCCAAGATATAGGAATCTCTGTCATTAGGGAACTTTCCCAGTCACCCAGCCAGTAGGTGGGAGAGTCAGGATTTTAACCCAGGTCATCTCACTATAGAGCCTCTGATCTTAGTCAGAGCCCAACTTGAAGCTGAGAGTGTTGACTTGTGGCAAGTGGCAGGAAGCCTTGGGACATGTGGGGAGCAGGGGGTGTCAAGTTCCCATAATATGGTGTGCCCACAGGGAATGGCATTGCTGCTTTTGAGTCTGTGCCCACCGCCATCTACTGCTTCCTGCGCTGCATGGAACCCGACCCCGAGATCCCCTCTTCCTTCAATAGCCTCCAAAGGACTCTCATCTATTCCATCTCACTTGGTGGGGACACAGACACCATTGCCACCATGGCTGGGGCCATCGCTGGCGCCTACTATGGGATGGAACAGGTGCCAGAAAGCTGGCAGCAAAGCTGTGAGGGCTATGAGGAGACAGACATCCTGGCCCAGAACCTGCACCGGGTCTTCCAGAAGAGTCTGTGAGGGCCCCAGCTGCTGGGGCTCCGCCATGTCCAGCAGGACCAACTACAGCTCAGGTTGGAAACCCTGAGCTTCCTAGGGCTTTGCTCCCCACCTCATTCTTCCTGCAGTGTGAGCAGAGTGCAGTGCTGGGGCTGGGGTCTTTAGGGGAAATCACTGGAACAGTGAATGAGGGACTGGTGCCTCCCTGGTGCTGAGTTTCTGGCTGCAGAGCCTCGGACACCCCTGGCTCCTCGGTTAGACATAAGAAACCAGGGCAGGTTCCATTGGAGGGGTAGTTGTGGCATTTTCCTTTATTATCTAGGACATGGAATTGGGGAAGTGGAAGTGATCTGCAGTAGCCTCATTTGTCCTCGTTGAGATTTAGCCAGTTTGCCAGAAAGCAGCAGGTTTCTATGAATCAAGGAGATGGGCACTTGAATCTAACTGACCTCCATATACACCTGGCCCTGGGCTGTCATGGGCTTGTTAACAGCTTCCAGCGGAAGCCACAGAGCAATAAACAGTTTTTGGTAAACCCCACCTTGGTTTCCTCTGTTTGTCTTCTGCCCTGAGTGGATTCTTCCCCCTTGACCTTTTGTACCTAGTGCCCCTCTGGGCTGCACTCTCCTAGGAGCTTGGATCCCAGGCCATGAGTTGCTGGGTTGTTGAGGCAAATCCCTCCAGTTCTTTCAGCTGGCTGTGTTCAACCAGGAAGGGCAGAGTAGGCATGATTGGTGCCTTCTGTTGATCACTCAGAGTGACCCAGGCAGGGGGCAGGGAACAAGCCAGATTTTCTTGCTCTCAGAGTCTGACTTCATAGGTTCTCCCTAGGTAGTGCTCAGGCCTAACCATGCCAAAAACTGGAACCAGTAGGAGGAAGCAGAGGGCACCTTCTATCACCAGACTGCCAACCTTTGGGTGGGGAAGGTGCATCATCCTGGGTGCTCTGGGTGGACTGAAAGCTGTCCCTGATTTTGCATCTTGGGCCCTAGTCAAAGGCATCAGCCTATTAGGAAGTTCTGCACATGATCCATTTCAAAAAAAGGAAAATTGAGACACCGCCATCAAACATCAGGGACATTCTTTAAGCATCCTTCCAGCCCCAGGGGGGAGAAGCATGCCCTCTGCAGTTAGCCTGACATTTCAGGACTGCTGGGTAGGTCTGTTCTCAGCCAAGATAGTGTTATGCCAGGCTAGGGCAAACCACAGGATTTTGCAGGGCATGGATTGGTCTTGGATATGCCATCCCTATCCCCACAGCTAGGGACAGATCCCTAGCTGCCAAATATGACAAGCTGTGGAGCAGGTGTTTTCTGCCCAGGACAGGTCCACCGGCCCCCTTACAAGCATTGGGCCTGGCACTAGCCCCGCCCACAAGAGCAAAGATTCATTATTTCATTCATAATTTGTATCAGATGTTGAAACTTGGCCCTTGGGATCCTGAGCCAGCTGTCATGCTCCACTACCCCTGAGAGCTTGCAGGAATGTTCCAGGGAAGTTTGATCCATCTCCCCCAGCTCCAGACACTGCTTGCTTTGGTTTCTTAAAATGCTTCTTGGCATTTACTTGGTGCAGAGCCTAGAAGCATGGATGTAGTGATAGACCCCATGCTGGGCAGCTCCTGGGGGCACAGAGCAGGAGCCCCATCAAGCTCCCTGGATGCCTCATGAAATCCAGGCCTGAGGCCCCTCTGTGTCAATGCCAATCTCAGCACTGCTGTTGTACACAACAGATTTTATTGAGGCTGTGCCAATACAGTCAATACCGTTTTTCTTTTCAAAAAGAAGTCCCATTTTCTTTGATTCCCAAGTGCATTTTTTCCAAATCTGTGACACAGGGCACGTAATAGGTACGTAGAGAACTAAGCTTCTTCTACCAGGTTAGAAATGAAATTACTAATGGAAAACATTTAAACCTTAATCTTAAAAAAAAATGAATCAGAATATAAAAATGCACAAGGTAATGTACTTTTCATTGTTAAAACCTGACATCATTTATCAAAGCTAGTCAGTTAAGTAGACAGCACCTGGAACATAACATTTCGAAGCACCAACCACCCCTCAAAGGTTTAGGAGTGACTTTTAGCAGAAACTCAGTTTAGTGAAACAGCCTTTTTGGCTCCTCCTTAGAGCCCTGGGTTCCCACTGGCAGCTGATAAGTGTCCGCTCATCAAACCCCTCCCCCACAAGCCAGTGGTGGCTTTGACCCAGAAGGAGGCTGAGCAAAGGGCCCACCAGGTGTGGTTCGAGACAGCTCTCTTGGTTGTCGGGGAATGAGAAATCCACCATGAACCCCAGCAAAAACCTGTTCTTAAAATATCATTTGGGCAGATTTGGATTTTCATTTTTCCTTTTGAAAGTTAGCATGAGCAGTCAAATGGTTCCCTTTATCGGGAGAAGTTGGTGGGGCGGAGGATTGGTGAGGGGCCCATGGGAACCTCAGCTCGGTGAGTCAGAAGTCAGCAGCCACCCTCCATTTTCAACACAGATGGCCCGGTGGGGCCTGAAGTAGAGCACACTGACCCAGGCTCACACTTGGTCCAGGGAGGTGGGCTGGATTGGGGAGGGCTGAAGGAGAGGCCCCAAGCCGCTGGAGAGTGGCTATCCTTGCATGAGCAAGAGCATACACCACCCCTGCCCCCAGCACTAATCTCAGCTTTATCCACTCAGCTTGAACTAGGGGCTGAAGGGAGGGAGGGGGATCCTGCCTGTTTCCTGCAGAGGAGCTCTGATTGGGGAAAATGGCAGAAACATCCAGAGCCAACTCATTCCAAAGGGGCCTTGTTGGCACCCTTTTTCCCAGAGCCTCAGCCTCCTGGGCCCTAATCCTGCTTAGAACAGGAAATTGGAACCAGAGGTGGGAGGAGAGGAAGCCCCCCCAGATTAACCCCTTTAGTAGACGCACACATACATGTGGTTCTTATTAAGGAAAAGCAGGCGGTGCCTTCATCCCCGAGCTTGTGTGCACCTTGTTCTGAGGACTAAACAGGAGGCTATGCTGTGGGGTCACTTGGGTTGGGGGTGGCAAGGATCCCTTACAATTTTGTATGTGAAAATCAGCCCTTTTCCCAAGACGTGAAAGGAGGAATACTCCTGCTCGCTGACAGCTGACCCTGCCTAGTGCCTGCCTGTGCCCCTCCCTAGGGGCCTGGGCAGCTGCCCTCTTGCTGAACAGAGCCAGAGCTGGTGGGGGCAGCCTAGGAGATAGAAATGCATGTGCAGACCTGTCATCCTGCCCCAGCCCCATGCCCCCACCCCTCACAAACCACCATTCCCCATGGCTGCAGCAGGGGCCATGAAAGGGGGATGGCCCTTCCCAGGAGCCTGCAGAAGGGGCCACACACCTATACATGCCTCACGCCACAGCATCGCCCCTGGGATTGCAGTCCTGGCATGGTGTCCACATGGCCCCCTCCTCTCCCTTTCCCCTGGAGGGAAACAAACTGTTCAGGGGACCCACCATCATATGCTGGAGGTCCTAGGGGAGCTGGAAGAGCCCCAGCCAAGAATTGAGGGAGGCTATGCCCCATTCCTTGAGCAGGTACCATCTGGGGGGCCAGCAGGAAGGGCAGGGCTTGGGAATATGTCCCCCCGAGGGGATGGTTGGGGGAGCTCAGTCCCCTCTCAGCTCTGACTCACAGAGAAGCAGCGTATTTCACCACCCAGCAGAGCCCAGGACTCACAGGGGGCAGGGGCCTGCTGCCTGCAGGCCAGGAATGGGGCCACAAGCCCAACACTGCAGACACTTGGGGGAGAGGAGGAACTCAGGCCAGCCTCTTCCAGAAACAGCCTCAGCCTGCATGGAGGGAGAAACCAAGTCAGTCTCCTCGGGCCAAGGCCAAGGCCATGGCGACCTCTGTTCAGCCTTTGGTTTTTTCTTTAAATGCAGGTTCTTTGTAACTGAGTTCTCTCTACCACTAAAGAGGAGGAGGCCAGGGCAGCAGGGCCCTGCTGGTTATGTGGGGCAGAGCAAGAACCCTGAAAAGGAGGAGTGGATGTACTCAGTGGAGTAGAGGCCATTGGCCTGGTCCGAGGGCATCTGCACCCAGACCTGGTCGTTGGGCCGCAGCTGGAGCACAGCCCCGCCAGACGCCTGATCCAGGTAGCCTTTCTTGTACTCGTCGTAGGTGTAAGTGGCTGGCACGTTGTTTTTGTACAGGGCCACCCACACATTGGTGCCCTTGACATGCACGTGGTAAGCAAAGTAGTAGACCCCGCCCACAGGGCAGGTGAAGATGCCAGTAGCTGGGTTGTAGCCACTGTGGCCGTTGTAGAGAGTCCGGTCAAATTTAACAGGCATGCCCGAGGCAGGAAAGGGTGAGGTGAGCACAGCGGTGAAGGCAGGCGTGGTGTGGGCCGACAGCTCGCCCAGCCCAAATTGCGGCTTGCCGCCCTTGCCCAGCACGGCACCCTCAACGCCACCATTCGGCAGGTGCAGGCCGGCGATGCCAGTCTCATCAAAGGCCCCAGGGGCGCCAGGGGGGCCAGGAGGCCCCGGAGGCCCCGGAGGGCCTGTGAGTCCTGGGGAACCGGGGACCCCAGGGGGCCCTGTAGGCCCAGCCATACCAGGTTCCCCCACTTTCCCCTCTCCAGGGGGCCCTGGCAGGCCTGGTTCACCCTTTAGGCCTGGAAGACCTTGTGGCCCGATAGGACCAGCTGGACCTTGGAGTCCTGGGATTCCTGAGGGGCCCCTCAGGCCAGGCTGACCAGGGAGCCCCAAGTCACCCTTCTGTCCCAGGGCTCCTGCCACCCCTGGACCCCCAGGGCGACCTGTGAAACCTTGTTCGCCCTTGGGCCCAGTTGGTCCAGGGGGTCCATGGGCCCCTGGAAGCCCCCTCTCTCCTGGGAGCCCAGGTTTCCCAGCCAGGCCATTAGGCCCCTGGTCACCCCGAATGCCAGGCAATCCTGGGGGTCCTCCAGGACCTACCTCTCCTTTAGGCCCAGGGGGCCCACGTCTTCCAGGGAGCCCTGCAGACCCTGGAAGTCCAGGGGGGCCCCCAAGGCCCTGTGGGCCCTGCTCCCCCGGCTCTCCATCCTCACCTGGCTCGCCCCTGTCCCCCAAGAGCCCTGGGACCCCAGCTGGGCCCTTGTCCCCCTTGGGGCCTGGCAGTCCTGGCATCCCATAGCCAGTGGGTCCTATCAGACCAGGGGGGCCCCGGACCCCTGGTTCCCCTTTGGCCCCTGCTGGGCCCTGTGGCCCTGGCACCCCTGCTGAGCCTGGAATCCCCACACCATCCATCCCAGGGGGCCCTTTTGGGCCCAATGCCCCTGGCTCCCCCCTGGGTCCTGGCACCCCGGGAGGGCCAGACTCACCCTTATCTCCAGGGGCCCCAGGAAGCCCATCTAAACCTGGTTTGCCCAAGCCAGCTGGACCAGGGAGGCCAGGGGGTCCAGGGGCACCCCCCTGCCCTGGGGCTCCGGGCAGCCCTGGCTGGCCCACCCCATTATCCCCCTTGAGGCCTCGATCACCTGGGGGCCCAGGCTCTCCCTGGGGCCCTGGCTCCCCCCCAAAGCCTGGTGGCCCTGGAACACCTTGGGGGCCTGGTTTCCCAGGGACAGCAATGCCTGAAGGCCCAGGGAGGCCAGGGGGCCCTGGGGGACCCCGGAGGCCCTGGTCCCCTCGTATCCCTGGCTCCCCCCGAAGCCCTGGCTGCCCTGGTGGTCCAACCTTGCCCGGGAGCCCTGGGGGACCAGCCTTGCCCATCCGGGAGAAGCCAGGGGGACCAGCAGGGCCAGGCTGCCCATGAAGCCCTGGCTTTCCAGTGCCTGGTTTTCCTGGGAAGCCAGGAGGGCCAGGGGGCCCCCGAGGCCCAGGTTTCCCAGGGGGGCCGGGCTCTCCTTTCAGATCCATCGGCAGCAGCGGTAGAGGCATTTCTGAGAGAAAGAGAGAGAGAAGGGTCAGTCAGGGGCCTGGTCAGAGGACCCATCTACCCACTCCCCCACACCAGCATGGGGTGCACTGGGAGAAGACCAGGCTCTGTATCTGTTCGTGAAGAACACGCCCTGCTCTCCCCTTCCCTGCTCTGACAGAAGATGGAGTTGCGGGGGTGTCCAGTGGCAATCTTGGGGGCTTCAGGGTGTCCTCACCTAGGGCTCCTAGCATCCAACCCACCCAGGCTGAGTCATCCCCAAGAGCTTGGGGAGCCTCTCGTTCTTGCATGCCCTAGAGCGGAGTGGCCTCCAGGTGGCGCCAGCAGCCCTCGGTAGAGCCGGTCGGAGCAGGCACCGCCCCCCC